GAGACAAGGTGTCACTCTTGCTCAGGCTGGTCTCAAACTCCTGAGCTCAGGGCAAGCCACCTGCCTCGTCCTCCCCGAGTGCCAGGATTACAGGCATGAGCCACTGTGCCCGGCCTCATATTCATATTTTTAGTTGATCAAGAGGAAAGAGCACGGCTCGGCACCCGTAGCGCAGTGGTTAGGGCGCCGGCCACATACACCAAGGCACGTGAGTTTGAACCCGGCCCGGGTCAGCTAAACAATGACAACTGCAAAATATATATATATATATAGCCGGGCACTGTGGTGGGCACCTGTAGTCCCAGCTAGAGAGGCTGAGGCAAGAGAATTTCTTAAGCCCAAGAGTCTGAGGTTGCTGTGAGCTGTGACGCCATAGCACTCTACCAAGGGTGACATTTAAGACATATTCTATACTAACTAGGTTTTTCCTTAAATATTTGAAATACTTCTTTAATCTGCGTGTTTGCCTTATTGATAGAATTTTTACAAAAGAAATTGACCATTTCTTTGAAGGAGATTTCTTTAACAGGTAAGGATATTGGAGCACAATAAAAGGATAACTGGGGAATGGAACAACAGAAATGAGCGTGAGGTGCCCGGGGGCCGCCCTGACCTCTGAATGAGTGTGAGGTGCCCGGGGCCGCCCTGACGTCACATGAGCGTGGGATGCCCGGGGGGTCTCCCTGACGTCAGAATGAGCATGAATGCCCTCGGGCCATCTTGACATCAAGACATCCTAAGCTTCAAGCCTAGACAGGCCTATCTCTGCTGATAGAATTGATGATGCCTCAAACCAGTAATGGGAATAGAAGCTGATAGGAAAGTGCTGGTGGATAAACATTGTTTTGAAATTATATTATATTGAGTGATGCATTTCCTACAAAACACAAGTTGTTCTGTCTAAAGGGGTTAAGATGGCAGGAAAACTGCATTCAAAAGCACGAAAGTGGCGTGTATCTTACCTTTTAAATTCATATAGACGTGGATGCCTCGTGTCTGAAGGCGAAACACACGGAAACTGAAAGTTTGATCCCTAAAGTCTCAGAGCACATGGCTCCAAGTCTAAGAATTGACGGTCCTTTATTTCTCAGATGAGTATTAGCCTTGATCACCTTTGTAGTAACTTGAGTTCTCTCACCTCGGTATGGTGATGTTATACAGACTTGTCATCAGTCTCAAGTTCAAGTTAATACTAGAACACTTACCATCAAGTTAGATAGTGATTGTGAGTTTAGATGCTTTTGGTTTGGCCACATGCCGTTCCTTAACCACGCACCCTTTCCTGTCAACAATTTACCAGTGACTCCCACACACTACCAAGGCTCCCAGCAGGTGGGGAGTGTTAGAAAACTGGCTAGATAAGAATCTTACTATTGCTTCTTTGGGGTACTTGGGTAGGTCTTATTTTGACAGAGTTTTGAAGATTCAAGTATAAGAAAGGGATTATTCACGGTGTAGCTAACACAGTTATATATCAAATGACTTTTTGTGTTAAATTAAACATGAATTAGTATATTGAGAATAATTCTTTAGAATTAGTTTACCCAGCCCTAGAAAAGGAGTCAAATAGTTTTTAAAAAGGTGGGAGGGGGCGGATTAGAGCCAGGTGTGGTCGTATATGCCTGTAGTCCCAGCTACTGGGGAGGTTGAGACAGGAGGATCACTTGAGGCCAGGAGTTTGAGTTGGCACAGGCAGCATAGCAAGACCCTCCCTCAAAAACAAATAAGCAAAAACTGACAAATTCTCAAACTAAATGTACAGGTATAGAGAATTGACTTTATATATTTTTTAAAAAACACCT